CCGGATTCAGAATTACCATTGAGCTGACAAAGCTCAGAGAATGGAATTTGGCTGCAATGTGTTGTGTATGCCATGTTTTCAGCTGAATAAACTGCTCGTTACATTCAGTCTATGCTCCAGATTTATTCATCTTCCTTGTGTCAAGTTCCAATTTCGATGTTCTACCATGTTGCCACTGATTTTTATTTGACATCCGCGGAAGTTGGTTAGGCATTATGCGGTGCGAAATAATTTGAGACTAGGTTTAAGTTCACCTAGAGGGCAGAAAGAAGACCTAATATCGAATTCGGCATCTCCTTCACTTCCCTTCAAAGGCGAATGTGTCATCGTTACGTGGAAGTCCCTCGTTCAACCCTCCTATCAGTCATTCTTTTCGACCCACAGAACTATTTCCCCACTACTGTTGCAAGAAACTCCGCGCCGTTTCTGTAGAAGTCCCCCATTCGAAGCGAGGTTAGGTCCTCCAGCTGCCAAATGCATTTTTATTCCACCCACACCAAAAGGATTCTCGCTGTAATTTAAATGTGGTGCAAAATTGGACCACAAAGACCTAATAGCAAACGGGCATCCCATCCATTTCTTCTAGTAGGGAAATGTATCATTGTTATGAGGAAGCACCTCGTTCCTAAAGTTGTCAGGGCTCAAGGTGCGGTCACATATTGTTATTTGAAACACGCTAACTTCGCACTTGCTTTGGTTCATGGAAGTCCCTCATTCACACGGAGGTTAGATCCTGCCTGGCCTTGTTCCAGTTCAGCTTTTTTGTTCAACCCAACAGCCACTTTATTTTACCTTATATTTTGGGAGGAATCATCTGTGTCCGCAAAAAAGAAAAAGGTCCAGGGGGAGACACCATACATGAGTTTATTTTCAATGTCTGGACGCGCAATCCATTTTGGTGGATGTCCAGAGCGCACAGATGTGAAAGAAGCAAGACGGACACCGGACCCAGGTCGAGACTCAAGACGGCATGAACTCGGCAAGCATTATGAGGCAAAGAACTCCCGGAGAAAAAGAATACAGAGTTGTAATGTGCCAGTGTGTCGCCAGAAGGCATCCCAAAAATGTGACCAATAAAAGAAATCTTCGCCAGAAATAAATGGTTCCGCTGGTCATCATGCCAACTCAATGCGGCGCGTTGCAATGTCATCACGGCACCAGGAAATAAAGTGCCTGAAAACCAGGATGAGCTCGAGTTTCACAGGCGCGCCAAGGCTTTGGAAATACAAACATGGGTTGTGTTAAATTCCGGGTAACTCAAACAAGTCGTAAAACTGTTTGCTCATCAATTGAGCTTCAGGCTAATGTCAGGATCGACATCGTGTGCTAATAGGTTCCCCGTTGTACATCCAGAAAGCATCCCAAGAAATGGGGCCAGTAAAAACTAAATCTTCGCCAGAAACGGTTCCGGCGGTAAATGCGGGCCGTGGCCCGATTGATGCCATAATCACACCGGCATCGCATTTGCCGCCCTGTCTAACACCACGACCTGCTGAAGAACAGGTACAGGTAGGAGCTCACTTCATTGGTCTAATGAGCTCTAACATCCTTGGAGGACTTCCAGTACCATGACCAACCCTGATCTTGACTCTCTGCTCTCGGATACGACGCGGCGAAGTCGGAATCAAAGCGCTTCAGACGGGAGATCCACCTTGTCAGATATGCGGAGAAGCATATCAGAGTTGGATGCGCGCATTCTGGCACTCGAAGAGGCCCTCGGCGCAGCCAAGCTTGAGCGGCAGGACCTGCAGACACGTCTCGACGCCTACAAATACCCCGTTCTTACCCTTCCCACCGACATCACGTCGGAAATATTTGTCCATTTCCTCCCACCTTATCCCGAACACCCACCGCCCACTGGACCCGCCTCCCCGGAATTTCTCGCCCATATTTGCCAGGCATGGCGCGAAATAGCGCTCAGCACGCCACGACTCTGGCGAGCCATCGAATTGAGGCTTCCGACGACGTCTCCGACCAGGGCGCTGGATTTACTCAGGACCTGGGTATCACGCTCCAAATATTGCCCTCTATCCATTTCCCTGAAATCCTCCACTTGGCTGCTTGAGGCTGATTTCATCCAAGCCATCATACCTCATTCTGACCGCTGGGAAACACATCGACTTCAAGCTGCCCATTGAATCACTGCGATTGATTGGAGCGGACTTCCCCGTACTCCGTTCCCTAACTTTGGGCCCCACTGCCTATGCAGGAAAGACCGACTCACGAGATGCAATATCGCTCTTCAGCAATGCGCCTCTTTTAAAGCAGGTTCGCCCTTTCCGCCACCTTTGGGCCTTTCGAGACTCAGCTGCCAGTGGTCGCAGTTAACGAGCATCTCCGCATACTCTTTGACTGCATCTGAATGCGCCGAGATATTGCAGGATTCCGCTGCCCTTCGGGAGCTTCACTGCAACCGTCTTGAATTTGACCCTGGAAACCTATTGCCAGTGGCGCCTCTGAGATATCTGCATTCGTTGAATTTGGGCGGCGGCTCGGGTCACCAACAAGCTCCTGAAAATACTCACGACTCCTGCTCTCCAACATCTTACGATCCCGGACACCCTGAATACCGTCATTCCCGACATCACTGCGCTCATTTTACGGTCTCATTGTACTCTGGAATCCTTGCACATCGTTTATACGGACAAAGAAGATGTAACCTACCGTGCAGCATTTCCTTCCATTCCCACCATTACTGCTACAGGCGGACGTCTATCATCACTTTGATCCCTTCCATTGAACTTACAGAGTAATCTGTCACCAAGTAACAAATATTACTGTATATCCTTAGAAAATCTATCAGCCCAGACCCCCCCTTCCAAACATGTTCAACTGTGTTCACCAGTACAGCGAAGAAAACTGTTCAATATCAAGCCGGTATTGTCTCAGACGGACTTGCAACATTCATGAAGATCTGACCTCATTGTATACGGACACAGCAACGGCGGAGGCCGAATGAATGTCTATATGACGACGAAGAGCAAGAAAATGAAACGCACCAATTTTCACGCCAGTGGTGCGCAAGCCATTGAAGAACAACTCGGGGGACGTGGGATCTGTCTGCATGACGATGCGTCAAAAAAGTAAACGGAGCTCCAATATTAATAATGGTTGGCGCGCAGAACCCGACGCTTGCGAAACCAGCACATTCCAATTATATTAATCGACATTGAAATACGCTGTACACGCGGAGCGCGGTGTTTTTTTTTTTTTTTTGCGACAGGAAATACACCATAAACGGGCCGCAAAATCTATGCTCGAGGGACTCCGGGTGTTTCACGGACAAACAACTGCGTAGTCAGAGTCAATAGCATCGAAGAGGTCCTAGGCTACACACATCAAAAGATATGACAGTATATTGCGCGGTCAGTATCAACCTAGACTACGAGCATCTGAACGGAGAAGGTGCTTTGAAATGAGCAGGCAGAAGTGATGATGGATTGGCTCGCGCAGAAAGACATCAACCCTTCAGCTCTAGTTACCTATGAAATCCCTTCAGGATTCATGACAATTAGAACGGAGGGCACGGCATAAACAGTTCCAGATGGGCGATCAAACATGGAAAGCGCTCCCTGTTGCCTCCATATCCAACGAGGGTTATCAAAAAGTTGGGGACGTGATCTGCGTCGCCAGCACAAAGTGAGCAAGCTACTGCGTTGAGGCGCCGGTGGTGAAGTAGTCAGAAAACCAGCGGTAAGCGATATAACATCCGGATCGCGAGCGAGAGAATAGTACGTAGCTGCGACCCAGAATTTCCAAGCGCGTCGCCGCAAGCCCCGCCCCAAAAATGCCGCCAGGAAAAAAAAAGAACTTTATCAGAAACAGTCCCCGGTAGATGCGGCCCGGATCGTGACGTCACAGCTAGACAAAGAAGACCCGCCACTCTCCCTTGTTGCTCTCTTGCTCCTGCGCGTGCGTGCATGCAGATTCGAAGAGCTTGCTGGTGAATTTGCATGCGCGTATGCTCCATGAACCAGCGCCCAGACAAGGCGTACTCCTGCTGCTAGCTGCCTCCCACCTACACCCCCGCCGTGCCGCCCGCATCAGCCGCGCGATAAGCCCACGGGTACGCGTCTGCGCTCCGCCGGGCTGCGCCATTATGCAGGTCTGCGCCGCGCCGATATGATGTGGAGTCTGCGCCGCGCCGGTATGCCCCGCCGCAGCCTGCACCGTCCCCGTACGCGCGTATACGTCACCACGTACCGAGACGACGCCGCCACCGCCGCGAGGGAGGAGGACGACGGAGGCAGCGGCGTAGGCACGGACATCAGCGCTGTGCGTGGCAGAGTCGACGTCCCCGTCGTGCATGTCTGCGTGTCTGCGCCGTCGGCGTTGCTGCATACGTCGGCGGCGGGCGCCAGTGTCGGTGTCGATGCAGAAGGCGGCATCCCCAGCGACCCAAACACATACAACGGCGGCGACGTGCCCGCGCTCCCGAACGACCCCGCCGAGCCCGCGCCGTCCACGCGCGCTACGTGCTTCTCCCCCCACCAGTTTCGTCATTAGCCGCCTTGCGCTTCCCCGTAGTCGGCACCGGCGCGTGCGCGGACGGTGGCGAAGCAGCCACCTCACACCCGGCGTCCGCGTCGGCGTCACGCTGCTCCCACTCCCACTCGTACTTTCCCCACTCACCATCTGCATCCGCATCGCCATCCGCATCGTCTTCGCCCTCGCTCGCCGCCTCCCCGCGCCTCCTTTTCTTCCCCGCAATCCGCACGCTCTTCTTCGCCCGCCCGGGCGGAAGGCGCACGTGGCGCGGGGGGGTGGCAAGTATACAGTACGTAGGCAAGGAGGAAGCGGCACGGGGGAGTGAGGTATTGGTACAATAATTTGGGCATAAAGACGGCGGACGAGGAGGATTACGGGAAGATGGAGGGGGTGGTGGTACAAACGGGGGCGGGAGGGTGTGGATGACCAGGTGACGGAGCTTGACTCATTGGGGCATGTCTCGATGTGCATCGGCGATCGTGTGATCATAGTTTAGAAACCTGGTTTCTCAGGACACCGTGCCGCAGTGGTTACCGGTCGCCCTGCTATAATTTGCATCCAGGCGATGTGCTTTGCACACGAGTGTTCGAATCGCTCCGGTGTCGGTTTTTTTGCCTTTTTGCCGTTTGCACCAATGAAGTTTATGTGAAAGTCCCTCGTTTAAACCGAGGTTAGGTCTTTGCGATGATGTCCCGTGTGGTTTTTCTATTCACCCCACCCTAAAGGCTGAAGTAATTTTGCACTAGTTTAGGTTCAAATAGCTGGAAGGAACACCTAATAGCGCAAATCGCATCCCGTCCACTCTCTTTGAAGTTGAACACTTGTGGTTCATGTGCAAGTCCCTCGTTCAAATCGAGATTAGGCCGTAATGATCCAGGCTCCTCTTGGAAACTGTTTTTATTCAACCCACCAAAAAAGCTCAAAACAATAAGACACCTTACCAATGACAGGTGAAGGGGATGAAGACCTAATAGCGGAATCTAGCATCGCATCTACCGCACCTGCCCCATCAATTCCTTTGGGAGTGGAAGTCCCTCGTTTGGATCGGGGTTAGGTCCGACAGCAATGGCCGATGATTTTTTTTCTCCAAAGTGTTGGAGGAAAATAAACCGCTGAATGAGAGTTAAATGGAGAGCAGGAAGACCTAATAACAAAGTCGGCAAGCTTGCCAAGTGTTACATATGTGCAAGTCCCTCGTTCGACCTGAGGTCGGAGGATGCATATGACCGGCGAAAAGGACAGTCCGCTACTAGGGGTGGGAAACTCCTTCCCTTTATGGAAGGAGAGGGGTCAGTTTGAGGTCGAAAAAAACTTTTCAACCCTATATCCGAATTTCGAAAGCCGACCCCCCCTTGACCACATCACAGATCTCAGCATGTATGGTTAGATTACCAGGCCTGCTTCTGACAGCGCTCGCCGAGATGCACATCCCGCGTCTAACGGTCGATTTGATCTGCCGCGTTGGAGTTGCCTCTGCTTCTGGAAAGGTCCGCCTTTAGCGCTCAGCGGCACCCCACCATTCTGAATATTATAGCTGGCTCCAGCTGTGCGTCCTCATGGTGGTGTTTCTCCGTCGGAGACGGCGTCTGCAGTTATGTCGACGTCATCGAAACCGTCGAGGATGCCAGTATTAGTTTGGTTGCCGGTGGGATACGGACGCTTACACTGACTGGGAGATGGGCGCCCCCACGTAAGGATATCTGGCTTAAGGCAAAGCAATTCGTTCCTAGAAAGACCCACAGGAAAATAGGCTGTGAGCTCCGCCATTTGGTTCAGATTCTTTCTTTGTCCACTTTCTCATGCCGTGCCGTAGTGGATGGGCCCAAGAACCGCACGTAGGCGTCGGCTTTGTCTCAGCGAGACCCCAGAATTCCTTGTGAGGAACAGCTCGCGACCCAGAGTCTGCGGGTCCTCTGCGTAACTCATTTCGCCATCTGGATAAGTATATCTCAGTCAAATCCCAGTCGTACTCACGCCACAATTGGTATCAGCATCTGCTTCCCTCGGAAGAATCCTCCTTCCGTGTGACAGCCCAGCTGGTACCCACGCAATGAAGAATGATTCCTACCCTAACTGGCAGTCTGCGACTTCCTTGTCGTGCATGGTCGCATGTGCTCGTTTCCCACTCTATCACTAACTTTACGTTAGAAGTTGCCACATTTTTTTGTCTTATTAGCCTCCGTTTCATCGTTGCCCGCGTCTATAGGATCTACAATGGAATTGGAGCGCATATGCAAGCGGTCGGACAGTGTATTATCCGACACTGACACGCTCGCCGGCGATGACTTGCGGACCCAATCCCCAGTCACACTCAACCCGACATCGGTCGAGAAGTTCGACTCCAATCGATACTCGCGGGGCAGATACGTGTGAGTCTGGTCGAGTGTCACTCTATGATGCGGCTCATTTATTTGATCGTTCAGGCAAAATGTCGCCGTCGAATATTCTGTTCCTCCATTTTCTCGGTCATTCCCTCGGTGTGACCACTTGTTGGGGCACAAAACATGGAGCTAAAAAATTGCACAAAGGAGTCCAATAGCAAGCTGGACGCCTCACCGACATCCCGAGGGGGCTCTTTACTTCATGCATCAACAAAATGTCAGTTCTCATGCATGGGCTGCGTCTTTTTGGATATTCATCCAGTTACCCGGCAGAGAATCTTCACCGATGCATATCTATACGACGATGTGGTCTTGGCAAAAACCAACGCCTGCGTTTCGCATATCAATCATCGTCTGGAAGATAAAGGCCGCTTAGATCCTGACATGGATGAAATCGACATCGTCCTCGATCTGATTGAAGAGCGGGCTGAAAGCATAGAATGCGGGTTATTATCTTGTGGACCATTCCATGCGCACCATCTTCTGGATGGATGCTTTTGAGATGAGTGGGCTATCCGCATGGAAGCGCGTTCCCGGCATAATTTCCGCCTCTCACATAAGTAGGCACTTCAGCAAAAAAAAAATTTCCCCAGCTGCTCACGCTCTTAGACTTGATTCTGGAGCACGCTTATTGGTAGGCCTTGCACCTCTGGAAGGTGAATAATCAACACCTCTCAATTTTTCCCGCCATCAGCTCATAAAACCTCATGTTAGAAATAGTGGAGATTTATCAGAATATCCAAGGCATCATTGCGATTTATTCCCGGCCGCAAAGCTACCCTCCGCAGCCGTTCTATCAGAATTGCGCGACGCGATCGTTTACAGTGCCACAGGTATGGTCCGCATATACTCAATGTTTTGTGCGATGATAAGGGATGCCTGCAGATGCCTTGACGTCCCCATCCACCACAATCCCGTTTCGGTGGACGATCTTTTGAAGATGCACACACTGACCAACGCCATAAACAGCCCGTGTGAAGAGCCGAGAAAGGAAGCTTTTGGTGTTAAGATCGACCAGGGCTCATCATCAACCGTTGGTATGTCTCCTGAATTATTGGCTCGACAGTCTCGGGGTTGACGACACTTTTTCAGCGCGCCTCATGATGTTATTTGGTACGATGCAGTAAACACCTATTTCAACCCATATCTAAAGTCTTCCGGATTCTTCAGCACAGGAACGAGTTAACCACTTTCACGGGGAGTACGCAGCCCGGCTCGATAGACGGCAATCAGTTTACGGCTGGACCCCCACGCGCCGGTACTGGATGGCGATATTGTCGCCACTGCTGTTCAACGCTCCTAGTGGGCATCTCCGAGATCTGCAGGGTATATTCATGGACCAACTTGTCAGTCAATTGTCCTGGAAAAGGCTCATGGAGAAGGTCCTTTCGGAGTGGCAAGACATGACCTTATATGTACGCCGACCTCTCATATGTTGTGCTATCTTCAGCTCCAATCCAAAATACAGGGGTCACTTATCCTCAATGCGAACGTCGGGATCTTAGCCGTCCCGGGCAGTTCCAATTCATCAATTGCGCAAATCGCCAGCTATATGTCGATTTGTTTCGGCCTTGGAGCAATTATCCTAGGTAAGATGGTCCTCCATTTCAATCATATTCAGTTTGAACGTATATCAGGGCTGCTATTATCACGAAAGTATCGACCCGAGGCGGCCGATGCTGTCACAGCTGGACCGGTATGCCTTTATCATATTATGTTTTCTCTCCGCTGGATCCTAATTTTCCAAAGGCATTAGGCTTCAAAAACCATTGTCTCGGGGCATTGGAGGCGCGAGCAGTTTTATTTTCTCTGCCGTATGTGTTCATGATGTGGGGGTGCGCTGATTATATCTTCTCCAACATTGAAGTCTTCATTTGCTGACATGGCTCATTTGCGCACAGGATGGCCGCATTTCTGTCTAGTTTTCTGATTCTGGCCGTGGAAATAAGCAATGTACGGACGAGCGCCGTTGTACTGGCAACAGCAGCTGCACTCTCCTTGGCAATACTCAGCTCCATACTTTACGCGCACGATTGGAGCCTTTCACGGATGATACGCGCTGTAGCCGAGGGATTGACTCGGCAGTCCTCGTCCCAATCGAGCAAACGCAGATGTAACAAAAAGATCGACCTTCGCCAGTTCTGGCGCCCGAGAAATGATCGTAATATGGTTTAGTGCATTCGGCTGCAAATAAATATATTTTATGTGGTATCATTCCGTCGATTCACCGAAACATCATGCACAACATCCCGCCCTACCTCGCCCTACTCAGCACTGCCCACAACAGTCGCAGCCGGAGGTGCGAAGGCTGATCCACCGCCGCCGTTTTGCCCGTCCTGAACTGGTTCGGGGACGTCTTTTGTGCGACCATCCGAAACGATGGCGGATCCTCCAGGGCCTGATTGCCCGTCGGAAATCGGCTGGACAGTAGCGTCTGTGGCCCTCGCATCCGAAGATTCGGCCTTTTTCTGTCCGGTGGGTCCGATGCGCGCGGTCCCAGCGCTGGTAGACGCGTGCATGGTCCCAAATGCGCGACTTCTAGTCGCCGCATGTCGTACAATTCCCAACCCATGTAAACGTCTGCCGGGCAGCGTTATGACTCCACCCAGGCGCACCCCGGCGGTCGCAATTTTGGAGAAACGAAGCATCGTTGCAGTCGTGGGTGTTCTGTGGGTGCATGAGTGAGATTTGAATGGGGCTGAAAAACTTCTTACCGTAAAATAATGCCCTATGCTACGAAGTCGGTCGGGAAGAACTGGGGGAATTCGGGTTGTCGTCGCACCATTTATTCGCCCCAGAAGCTGTAGCGCAGCCTCATCATCCCACCACAGCACTGGAGTACGCAAGGTTGATACATCCCTACAGACATCTTCGAACTCTTCCTATCGCACCGAATATCAAATTGGCATCATGGATTCGACACAGTCTATGATTTATGATGGCTGGCATGACTCCAGCGCTTATGCACAGAGAAGGTATGTTATGTGTTGCACACGTCTAGCCGCGATGTGGAGCGCGTCTTGTGGTTCCATATACCGTCATAACCTCAGGAAGTTGGCGGTCCCACGAGGTGAAATGACAAACGTCTGCAATTGGTTGGTCTGGCGCCTCAGGTTATTCTAAGAGCCACAGCATGCTATGCATCTAGCTATTAACGAAACAGAGTGCTCATGATGAACGAGGATTGGCCACCTCAATTAAAGGATCCGCCTTTACTTCATTCC